CATGGCTTCGGGAGAATGGGGAGGGAGGCGGTTGGTGGAGGTATGGCAGCTTTGTTCTTAGTGAGAGAGAAGGTGGATGTTCGGAAACTAGTAAAAGAGAAAAATGGTGTGTTTGGTTAGAAAGATAGTGGGAGTTTGGGGAGAGTTTTATTTGACCGGTGTTTTAAATTGGGGTGTGCTATCCACACATCCTCTTAATTTGCGGTCGTCGGATCGACTGAATTAAAGAATATCAAATGACAGAAATAAACAAAGTGTGTGAGAAGCAAAAAGGGGTGTGTGAATAGCACACCCCTTTAAATTTAGTGCTTCATATTAGATAATCAATAACTTAGGTACTCCCTAGTAACTTATGAAACCTCGTAATGGACACTTAAATTATGATTTTATAATTTGTAATATTGTTTTGCATATGATTTTTGAATGAAATGTATTATATTTAAAATTTCAATGTTATTTGTCTATAATTTTTTTGACCTTTATAATTGGGACCCCCCGAGTTTAAAATCCTGGATCCGCCACTGTAGTTAGAGGGTTCCTTATCCACACATGAACATATGCATATAATCGAATCCACAGGGACTAATTGGACCTATATAATTACTTGTTTTGCAAGAACTCTTTACTAGAGAAATAAAACTAATCAATGTAGGCAGAGTTGTTGTTGTAACTAAAAGGCATAAGGAAATGAAGTAAACACAAATAAATGAATCAACAACTAATAAAATGGGATAGTATCAATGGAGATGAAGCTAGGGATTCGATTTCACCATTGCTAAACCAAGTCCATGTTTGTTAAATCAGTTTGTACTCAGTCATCTACCTATTTCTTGAGTTTGTTTCACTTAGATATGATCAACCATATGATGTGTGGATTTGATCAAATGTCTCTAATCATGAACCTAATTGTGATGTGCAACTTTGGTTCCTAATCAAGAATATGTAGTGCACAAGAAACTTTCATAAAACCAAAGGGAACACTCGGCAGAATGTTTGCAAAACACTCTCTTCATTCATTCACATATCCACCAAGATTATGCATGATGTGTGCTTTAATCTTGGCTAAACAACCTGTGGTTAATTCAAATGATGATCAAGCATTAAAATCAACACACTAAGTCACAATTAAATCGGAGAATGAAACAAGAAATAGATAGACTAAATGAGAATTCTGAATTAACTACATGGCAATCTTGCAAGGCTACATCGAATCCCTAGAGAGAGATTAGTTACACTTCATGTTTACAAAAGGTTTGACATAAAAATATATAACATGAGTGAACATAGGATTAAGAAGAAAGGGGATTTAGTTCTTTATAACATTGAAATCAAAGAAACGCCTAAACATTCCAACAACTCAAACTTGAATTGTATGAACGTTTAAGCACTCTTTTCTTCCATTCCTCAAACATACAAAACAAAGAGAATTGAATTTAAACATTGAAATCAAAGAAACACCCAAACATTCCAACAACTCAAACTTGAATTGTATGAACGTTTAGGCATTCTTCTCTTCCTCTTCGTTGTGGCACAAGGTCTAAGGACATGTTTTGATGGTGTGAATGGTTTGGGGAGTGGTGGAGGAATGGAAGAATGGTGTTTGGATTGTAAGGGAGAGTCACGGCCAAAGGGAAGTATTTGTGGTATGTACAATGAATGAATTTCTGAAATGGAAGAGTGTATGGATGAGTGAATGAGAATGAATGCAATGGATGCTTATTTATAGGTAAAATGGGGGGGACATGACAGCTAGGAGGGAATGTGGCTGCATGTTTGAATGATTAAAGGATGCATGTGGGTTGGAAATGATGGAAAAACAGCTAGGAAAGCATGTGAAAGCTGGAATTGCATGTGTGAAGGCCACGGCATTGAGTTTTCTGGTGGAATTCAATGTGAAAGTCACGGGTTGGATTGTGTGATGGTGTGTGTATGGGAATGACAGCTAGGAGGAGGAATATATGCATGTGCAAAGCTGGAAATGCAAGCAGAAAATGGAAGGGAATGCATGTGCACGGCAAGGAACTTTGTTTGTGTGCATGCAGATGAAATTGGATGAAATGCATGGAATTAGGCACGGCAATGATGGTGTTTTCCTGTGGTGAATGGTAATGTAATCTGAAATGGGAGAGCATGTGGATTAAAGGGGTAATGATGATGAATGCATGTGAATTATTTATGAAGGGAATGCATGTGCTTTGACAGAAATGAAAAGGAATGCACGGCATGGTTGATTTCTGGTGGTTGTGAGGTGGAAATGAGTGTGAAAGCATGTGGCTTTATGGTTGAATGATTAAGGAAGTGTTTAAGTATTTTAAAATAGGGAACAAAGCCCTTCCTTGCATGGCAAGGAAGGGAGACACAAGGAAACACACGACAATGTCCTAAGGTTGCAAGGAATGTTGTTTTTGTGTTCTAAAGTGCGTAGGAGTCTTCAATGATGCTCAAACATGAGGTCTTTTAGGATTTAACTTTCCTACTTCAAGTCTTTAATTTCGTCCATCCTCTTGGCTCCAAGCATATGATATCCATTCCAATCTCTAATTTGCTCCAAAAAGCTCCAAAAGGCATCATTTTGCATACCTTGCCCTTAGAACCTGAAAACACACAAAAGAAGCATAAAGGACTAAAATAACTAAAGAAACATAACGTAAATGCACGAGAACTAGCCATTTAAGTCGTATGAATATGCTCCTATCAGGGAGTAAAATGTAATTTATCCAAATTTAACTTATTTGATAAACCTAACATTAAAATATTTAGTGACATCGATTTAGGTACAACCTTTTTTTTATATTATTGGTTGGTTATTGTTTGGAGGTTCTTTTCATTATAGAACATATTAAAAAATAGCCTCCTTCGATTGGAGATAGGTTTTTTGTCAAACGGGCTATGTTTTGGCCTATGGCCTTTTGGCCCCCTCGATTAGAGATGGTATAAAATACGGTCTGGCACTGTTCATTAAAAATAATTTCTTTCAGGGTATAGGGCTAAACATGGCCATCTTCAACCGAAAAGGGGCCAAAGGGCCATGTTTAGCCCTATAGCCCTGCAAAAAATTATTTTTTAATAAACAATGTCAGGCCATATTTTGTACCATCTCCAATTGAGGGGGCCAAAGGGCCATAGGCTAAAACATAGCCCGTTTAACAAAAAAATTCATCTCCAACTGAAGGGGGCTATTTTTTAGCCCCCTCAGTAATTTATTATTTTATTTGAATTAATATGGTCAATTGAATTAAACTACCATATATTAAAATAAGGTTTTCGGACATATTTTGAGTGCCACTTGTCGCTAAATCAATAAGCCTCTGCATTTCTTATCTTTATATAATGAAAAGGATGTGAAAAATTGGTGAAGAGTTGAAATAAAATGAGGTAAGATAGTATGAAATGGTGAAAATGATGTGAAAAATGGGGTAGAAATGACTTGGGTATTTATAGAAAAAAAATTAGAATTTTTTTAATTTTAAATTTCATCTAAAAAAAAAAACATTCAAATCCAACAGTAACCTGATCTCAGCATGATGTCAAGTAGCATGTGTTTGGGCTAGGCTATAGAGCTGGCTGGTTGGTTGGTTGCTCTAGGCCAGCTCGTTGGCTAGTTCTCCAATTTTAGGCTGAGTCGGTTGGAGATGGCCTTAGCATCAAGCCCAATAGTAGGGTGCAGCTAGGGGTTATTCTACATACCCCCATAAAGTTTTATCATATGTTCTTAATGCAAGTTTAATCAGTTTTGTCCTTGAAAGAAAATAGAGAAACCTTAGCCCATAATTCTCTACAATGTGCCGCCCAATAGTATTCTTCCAAGTCAGTGATTTTGCTAGCACAATTGAATCCCTACTACATCATCTATTATTGGTGTATCAGTGACGATACTCCTAGAGACTCAACAATTAAGGAGCTTCTGGCGATTAATCATGATGAGGAAGAACACAAGCACAAAGATAATCCTACAAAGCGAAGCACACGTGGTTAAGGATTCATATAGTAATCTCTTTGCCATCTTCTTTGTTGCTTTATTGATTACAACCAACCAAATATATAGTAGGATACCATATGGTAGGTATTTATTATTTTTTGTTGCATATTTAATTCATTGAACTAAATTTGTACCAACAATTTGCCTAGAAACCCAATAGTGTCACGGCTACGTACCCAAGCCAATATAGAATATTTTGGAGAACCTATTCAGTTGCAATTACAAAATAATTTGATTATCTCCAAATCAATAATTATATCACATAATTAGGGTACGGAAGCTTATGTCAAACCCCTATTGTAATTATCCGAATGTAAATGATTCAAAGGACAAGTGTATGGAAGGTCTTCCTAAATCACACTTGATACTTTGGACAAATAATTTGGAATCATATCATAGAGTATTCTCCTTCTCTTGCTAAATATTAGAGATCCCTTATTATATGTTCACGTGCCTCTATGAATACGTTAATGACTCTGAAAATGCATAGAACACATTATTGGTGGGATATGGTCATGTTGCATCATCAATTAGCCAACGACTTATACACAAGACAATCATGGTGTCTCAGGTTAGAGGATTACTTGCATTATTGCAACTTTTAGAGTTTAGTTGCTTGACATGCAAGTAGAACTCTATGCAAGTACTCTCATTTGATCAGTTACCTATACACCTGTCTTAGTGTCTCCACATGAATAGCTTGAGATAAGCCATCTTCCCAATTAAGCAAAAATAGTGTGTCCCAGTCTTTCTAGATAATTAGGGTCCATTTGATAACAATTTAGTATAAAATAAAGCGACAAAGATTTCACCAATCCATCTTACTTGGATTGCTTCTTCCTCTATACATTCTCCACGGACTCATTGTTTAGACGTATAACAATTAATGAGACAGTCTTAACAAGTGAACTTGCCCTTTGGTGAGATCAGTTTGACTAATCTAGTTATCCTAAAAGATTTCATATTACGATTGACTTTTAGAGCACATCCACTAGCAGTCTATATAAAATATAGATAGAGATTCAAGCACGAACTAAAAAGATTTCATTATTAAAAGAGATGCAAATAAATTCTGTTGTGAATCGTCTCTAACAATTTTTTTGGCATAAAAAAACCTCACGAATCATTAGAAAGGAAAACCCCAAGAAACTGCTCCAAACAACTTGAAATTTCATCAGTTATCACAAACCAAACAAGAAAATATCTTTTGAGCAAACGACTTGGATGTTGGTAGTGTAGGTGATGTTGCACATACGATAATCTCAGATTCATCCGTTCCAGTTTTTCTGGCTTTCTCACATTCATCTGAAAATGTCTTAAACGCTCCTTCCACATATTTGAGAGCCTCTGAAACAGTTATGTCCTCCACCAGCTTGTCAGGATATGTATCCTTTCTATGGTCTCCATTTATTGCCGCGGCCAATTGAATTAGTTCTTCTTGAAAATCACTCTTTTTTGTCCCATCTTTAGATGCAGCCTCGCGTAGTTTCACCGGGTCAGGCAAAGTAACTGCAATGAACAAATTAAAATGTATGGTTGCAATAAATCAGATACATATGTTCGATCCCACATTACAGTGGAACTCACATACATACAGGAAGAGGAATGTTATATATGAGCAACTCATACAATAATCAGAGGTAATTAAAACACTAGACATCGAATCTTTTAATTAAAGTTTCACCTGGACAATCAGTTCTTGGGCTTGTTCTACTCAGGACACCCTCAAAGGTTCCCGCCCAAGCATCACGCTTAGTCAGAAACTCTTTCAGATTGAAAATTTTCTTAACAGTTGCAGGAATTGAGGAGTGCTCAAACTCTGATGAAGGATATGGCCCTGAAGGCCCATGCAACACTGCATTTTCAATAAGTATGAAAGGTAGTGTATGAGTAACGTTATATTCTTCTTTTCAGTTAATAAACAACAATGTTAGATCTTACACGTCTCAGTTCAGTAATAATCGTAGCAATATGGTTATTAATTATGATACAAATAGTTACATTCTTCAACTTACCTGTTCCAGGTTCAATCCATGGAGAAATTAAGATGGCTGGAACACGAACACCAAGACGATCGAATTTAAAGTTGTATGGCTCAGGACCAACGACATCATCCGGACTAGGAACATCTGTCACAGGTGTTGGAACATGATCATAGAAACCTCCATGCTCGTCATATATTATAATGAACAACATTTCATTCCATTGGGGACTTGCTCTTAGAGCTTCGTAGACTTCTTTTATAAACTTCTGGCCTTCAGAGACGTCATGAGATGGGTGATCATCGTTTGCAGGCATTGATAACACATCGAAGAATCTTTGCTCCACCACCACATAATTCGGTAGCTTTCCCTCCTTACAATGCTTCTTGAATTGTAGATCAAACTGATGGAAATTGTCGATGTACTTCAATTTTCTTAGATTCCTGCCATTTGTAAATTAAAATTCAGAACATTGTTCAACTACTGTGTACTTTCTCTCTAGTTAGAAAAAAATGCAAAGCTTATATTGGTGACCTTTTGATTTTTCAGTCCTCTAAAATTGAGATGACATCGTTTTGCCAACAAAAAGTAGGTAGGCAGTTTGTTTGTTTTGTTAAATGACATATAATTTCAGCTCAATCGAAATCTTGTTACATCATTCAAATAGATATGATGATGTTGCATGGTGTTTATTCTTAAATGTGCTTGTGACGGTGGTAATAACGTACATAGATGTTTCCCTTATCTCCATATGATTTCACCATGAGTTGGCAAATAGAGAAGTAGCCAAACTTTCCGGTGCAAAAATTCCTATAAAAAATGTTACTCTTATCACATATTTGTACTATTTTTTAAATAAAGATGAACTCACGTATATTGGTGGACCCTATCTCTATTAGAGAGAAGATATAAATAATGTACAAATATGTAATAAGTGTAACATTATTCAATTCTTAATACTTTAACATCACTTCCCCACCTGTATGATAATATATAATCATTTTGTAGATGTACATGTGAGATGTGAGGGCTGCTTAGAAACTTCAACCATGCAATATGCACAATATGTGTGTCACAAAATAAAAAACAAAAGACATATCAAAAGTATAAAGGCAATATGATAATAATCCATGTGAGTTGTGCGACAACAAATGTTATAATATAGTCCAATGTAACATAAACGATGCAGAGTTCCAATCCGTTACTCTGCTATTTCAAGTCAATAGTATAATGTTATTTATAGTTTTGTTTTCACATGTTATCTTATTATTAAATTATTAAATCGAACATCATCTCACAATGAACTAGATATTTTTAAATTTATCGATGGTGGGGCAAAGTTATAGATGATTGTTTTTTTCTCAACCAAAAACAATTTAACTTTTCCCCTCCACTAACCACTCATTTTGGGAATATTTTACCTGCCAAATAAGGACAAAGAAATATTAATATGCATGTGTTAAAACCTTGAATTTGTATTGATTAATTATCGTTTCCAACTATTGAATAGAAGAGATAAGGTCAAGTTATGTAATAATTAATTAAGGGACAAATAATCGGACAGGGTGGGGGAACCATTTAGGTGGAGATATGCAAATTGGCTTGCATGTTCTTAACATGAAACCCGCTAATTATATTAAATAAAAATTTGTTGAGAGAGTCGACAAAGTGGACCTATCTATTATTTGAATAACATGGTAAGGCAATCATATCGATAAGAAATTGTAGTAGGTCCAGTAATTGAGTGTCCCTTATATTAAGAAAATTGTAGTTGTTGGAATGGTTGGCCACTTCTCTAAATTATCATAAAAATATAGCTTACTTCATGAAAATATAAAATTCAATCTCGATCTTCCTTTTTCCCTTTGATTTCTTATGTACAAAATTGAAAAATCTTTCTAAAAGAAAATCTAAATAATTAACCAGTCATATTGTCTTCACAATCTGTACCGTTGGAGACTCCAAAACTCCAACTTGGCATACGCCTTAGGAAATCCATTACTACTTTTTTCTTTGACTCTTAAAGAACCAAAAACAATCAAATAATACAGGATAAGATTTATGCTACAAATCATTATTCCTCAAGAAACTTGAATTATATTTAAATGTTAGACTTTATTTTGTAACCTTGAATATGTTAAAGGCATTAATTAAATATTTTAATCACTTGTGGGTGAGTTAACAGACAAGTACTATTCGAGGAGGTTTTAACACCTTCCCCATGTGTCAAACTTAACATAGAAGGAGCAACCAAAAATTCTAAATATATTTGGTCGGTTTCAAGTAAAAATTCTCGACATTTTCGATCGATTGGTAAGCACTACATTGCCGTGACCCATTATGATTTCAGAAGTTTGAAGAGGGTTTCATGAACTAAGACAATAAATGTGTTGATGGTGTAATCTATTTTTAAACGATAAGTGAATAATTATTATGGATTTTCAGATAAATTGAATGGATAATTTTAGTTAATGGATGAATCTAAACGAAAATTAATTCATTATTTTCAAGAGCAAGGGCAAAACAATTTGAAAGTTTTTACCTGTACAAAAGAGTGGACGGAAAGGACTGAAAGTAAATCCCAAAAGAAAAGCCCTCCTCGTCCAACGACTGAAATATGGTCTTCTGAGGCAACCCTTCAATTAGCTTCTGATTATCATTCCCCGTCAACCCATGCGACGTCGCTGAGTGGATGTACTGCCGGTTCGGCTGCGTCGCAGCGGGCACCGACGCAAACCACCGGTCACATACCGCAAACTCCTTCACCAGCTCCCTGTGAACGGGGACGTTTTCGGGCCTAAAACCATTCATCACGGTCTCAGCTAAACCGGTTTGTGTTGTTTCAGCGTTTTGAGCGAAGCCGTTCATGGTAGGAGGTAGGGTTTTGGAAGCGGAGGCCTCGGTCCACGGCTCGCCGAAGACTTGCTCGTACACAGCTTGGATGGAGTGGCCGGGGTCCGGGTCAACGTAAGCAGAGTTGTCGCGGAAGAAGATTTGGGTGGAGTTTGGGTCCGAGGTGGAAATGGGGTTGGATTCGGAGCCAGTGACTCCGTTGATTTCGGGGTTTATGGACTTCATCCATCCCAGTATGTGGTCGAAGGAGCGGTTCTCTTGGACCAAAACGACCACCGTTTTGATGGGGCTGCTGCTGCTGCTTGACTCCGAAACCATTGTGGTGGTGGTGGTGGTGGTGGTGGTCCGATCGAACGTGGTGGTTTGTGCTTTGGGTTACTTGGGAATACAAATATATATATTGTGTAAATGTTGTTAAGCTTACGTTATGATCATGTGATAGTTGTTATATATAGAGAGAGGAGAGATGGTCATGGATTTATGATATTGAAGAAGCTTGGGTTGGACTTTGGAGAAACATTGAAGAAGCTTCGGTTGGGCTTAAAAGAAGGGTAAAGTTGATTGTATAAAATAAAGTACAAACTTTCGAGTTCTTATAACCACTAATGAGTTTCAATTGTAATGAAAAGTTACTAAAGCTACTTCCTTATAATTAGAACAAACAGAAAGATGTATAACTAAAATTTAAGAGTGGGTGAGAGGGTGATGGTAGAAAGAGACAAGGGCTTAGGTGTTTGTGAGAAATGTATTTCATCTTCTGGCTTTTATTTATAATAATTATGATGAGTTTTTTTTCCTTACAGGAAATACAAGGTTAAGTATCTTCAAATTCTAATGGGATTCCTACATTAAGTTTACACTTATTAGTTACAACACCCCTTCTTGAGTGTGTACAATTTAAGTAGTCGCATCAGGTCTTCATAATTAGGAGATGGCGGTTGTTGTTGTCTATTTTTGCCTTCTCGGCAGACACAATAGTTGCATTCACGAGTCTCTTGATAGGGGTGCATATAAAAAGATAATCTCACAAAGACTAGCTACAATAAACCTAGTGGGACAAACTCATAGTGTAAGAAGAAAAATGTGAGATAATGCGCGTATGTCGATGCTTGACATCTTCAGGATGTACACAAGTGTGTGACCAACCCAGAGTAGATGCATCATCAAAACCTCATCAGGTTAGCAAAAATTCAATAGAAAAAATACTCCTAATCTAAGTGAAAAGAAGTACAAGGCCATGTGAGTATACTTCATTCTCCCTGAGAAATGAAAGGGTTTGTATGGTTTGAAGATTTAAATTTTTACAAAACTAATTAGCCATGCATATACATAATAAGAAAGACTATGAACAGCATGCACATGGTAACAGTGGAACCGACAAAACTAGTAGTAAATGAAGGAAAATTTTGTTTATTTGAAGATCATTTGAGCAACATATATAGAGCAATTAACTATACAATGGAAGCTTGTTAACTTATATGCACTCAAAAACCAATCTTTAACCATGAAATTCAATGCCTAGTAGGTGGTGAACCAAAACTCAACTCAATTTTACAAGAAAGAGGTGAGAATTCATTTGCCTTTGTAGATATCTCTTTCTTGAGCAAAGGACAGTCTCCTAAGATATAACCTTCATTCCTAGCTTCTTTGCTCCTTAGATTTGTGTTAGAATAAGAATCTCCATGAGCCACCAAGGTAGGTGGCCTCTAAGTCTCTTCACCAAGCTTGGTTTGGGAAAAAAATGAGATAACCATGGAAAGAGAGGAGTGCTACTAATCTCTCCATGGTGGCCAAGTTTTGTAGAGAGAAGAATATAAAATGGTGGCTCTCCATCCTTCTCTTTGCTCTCCAAAACCTCTAGGATGGAGCCATAAAATGGCTTATATAGGTGAGTCACATGTGTGGAACCCCAACCATTTTGCTCCCCAAACCGGCCATATAGTATAGGTGGGCCTTTTGGGCTTTTACACATAAGTTGTCATGCACAACTTGAGTTACAAGCCCAATAATGGGTCAAGGCCCAATAGACCTAGGAACTCGAAACTCACTTTTAAGGCCCAATACAGCGTCTAACATGCGTATAATTGATTAACTAATTTAATTAATCTCATATTCTTCATAAGTTTTCCAAAACTTAAGCTTATCAGTGTACAAGCCATTAGGTTCTAATTAGCGAGGTAGTTAGTGATTAGAACTCTTACTAATCGATTGTAAATTGAAACTACTTTTCAATTATCCCTTTAATGAAGATGAACAGGTAGTAAGCCTCAGGGCTTCCACACGCCATGACTGACATCTAGCAGTATGTCATGGCTACTTAAGCTAAGCAATAGGTGGATAACCTATTCAGTTGAAATTATAATGCAATACGGTTCTTCTCTAAATCAATATTCTTGATCACATTGTTTAGTTGATATTTTATTCATATCTACTATCTAATGTGATTCTCCTTATCTATATAATTTTCGTGAATGTGATTTGGAAGGTACTTCCTAAATCATATTCATGTGCTATGGGTAGAGACTCTTGAATCATATCATAGAGTAGTCTCTTTCAATGGTTTAAGGTTACGGAACTCTAATTTTATACTCACATGCCTCTGGAATCATGAGTTTGCCAAGAAGGAAATAAAATCTATTTTGAAACTTTGTAAATTTGACACCCCCTCACGTGGGACCACGCATTAAGGGAGCCACAAGTGTAGGAAATCTTCACTAATATGCTAAAATTAACGGCAACCTTTTCAAAAGCGTAATAAATCACGATCCACCAAAACTAATGCCTCTTTCCGAATGCCTAATTAGAACTAACGTCAATCTTTTGGAAAGCCCAACTAGAAACGCCTCTTTTCGAAAGTCCAACTGGATGTTTGGAACTAACGCTAATCTTTTCGAAAACCTAATTAGTACTAATGTCTTTTATCGAAAGCCCAATTAATAAAGCTCTTAATGTGTTGGAACTAACACTTTTTTTCAAAAGTTCAATTGGAACTATTGGTAATATTTTTGAAAACCCAATTAAAACTAACGCCTCTTTCTAGAAGCCCAGTCACCTAAGCTTTTTTTTCCTTACATTTTGTTTCTTCCTCAAACTCAAAAACAAACCAAACACACAAGAACAAATAGAGGTGGTGTGGTGATAGGTGGGAGTAATAACAATAGAAGTTGCGAAGATCCTGCAGTAGTATATTCGGTTTGCAATAAAACTCAAAAAACTACATGACAGGAAACATATCCTACCATGAATTTTCTTCCCCTAATCTCTTCTCCATGGCAACGAAACCACAATTTTTTTCTTCATGATGGCGAAAACTATTCTTCTTCTTCATCAAACAATAGAAGAAAATATTCACCCTCAGGTTCATGGCATGTGGGTGCAGTGCACGAAGAAAATTAGCTCCGTGCACCCACAGGGAAGCGCTCACAGCAAAGTTCAACCAACAATCAAACTCTGCTGTGATACCAAGTTAAAAATAAAGGGTTTAAGTAAAATTCAGAATTCTCTAATAATCTCACAAACTTCGGAATCCAACTTCTATATTTTATTCTTCTCCATAAGGAGTTATTTATAAGAATACAATGGAGCAATAATAGAAAATAAATAAAATCAAACCTTTGTTCACAAGACAAGGAACCTATACCAAATTAAATCAAATCAAATCCCTAATTAGATTAAATCTATAAAATACTTTTCTTTTACTTTATGTTTTCCAACAGAAACATGTGTCGAGATAAACCCTAACAATCGGGACATCAGTGATCACAAACCAAACAAGAAAATATTTTTTGAGCAAACGACTTGGTGGAGGGCGGTGTAGGTGAGGTTGCACAGACGACAATCTCAGATTCATCTGTTCCACTCTCCCTGGCTTTCTCACATTCATGTAAGAACTTGTTAAATGCTTCTTCACAATATTTGACAGCCTCTGAAACAGTCATGTTCTCCACCAGTTTGTGAGGATATATATCTTTTCTATGGTCTCCATTTAATGCCGCAGCCAATTGTACTAATTCTTCTTGAAAATCACTTACTTTTGCCCCGTCTTTAGATACAGCCTCTCGTAGTTTCATAGGATCAGGCAAAGTAGCTGCAATTGATAAACAAAATTTTAAAATAAAAATGTGGCAGGAGTCAATGTATTATGATATATAATGTTTTAGAGACCACATTTTTGCCTGTGAACGTCACATACTTTATGATGTGAATGTGTCATTTAATAATTCCTAATAAATGTCGCTTGTATATATGAATCACTTGTCAAATGTGGTATTAACAAGAAATATCTCACGTGCTATGTATGTACATGCGAGGCATATATATTCTGGAAAGGTAGATAAGAACTAGAAAGAGAGAGTAGTGCGAGAAAAACATTTACTTGGCATTTTTATAATTAGGTATGACGGTTGTTATCAAAGCTTAAAATTATCAAAACCCACCTGGACAATCAGTTCTTGGACTTGTTCTATTGAGGACAATGTCAAAGGTTCCCGCCCATGCATCACGCTTTGTCAGAAACTCTTTCAGATTGAAAATCTTCTTAACAGTTGCTGAGATTGAGGAGTGCTCGAACTGTGACGAGGGATATGGCCCTGAAGGCGCATGCAACACTGCAACAATAAACAATCAATAAATGTTACATAGCATGTCTCACTTTTGGTGACTAACTATAGGATGTTAATCAGATCCTTGATAGAGGGGATCCGTGTAAGTTGGTCGTACTTTTAAAGTTGTAGTGAATATGATGTAACTGTTATAGCATATATAACTATTATTGTTTGAGTTATTACCTGTTCCGCGTTCAATCCACGGAGAAATTAAAATGGCTGGAACCCGAACACCAAGACGATCAAATTTAAAGTTGTATGGCTCGGGACCAACGATATCATCCGGACTAGGAACATCTGTAACTGGTGTTGGAACGTGATCGTAGAAACCACCATGCTCGTCATATATTATAACGAACAGCATTTCAGGCCATTGGGGACTTGCTCTTAGTGCTTCATACACTTCTTTTATAAACTTCTGGCCTTCAGAGACGTCGTGAGACGGATGATCATCGTTCCCAGGTATTGATAGCAGATCAAAGAACCTTTGCTCGACCACCACATAGTTTGGTAACTTTCCCTCCTTGCAGTGCTTCTTGAATGTTAGATCAAACTGATGGAAGTTTTTAACGTACTTCAACTTTCTAAGGTTTCTGCAATGTTAAGCGACATTCAAAACGCGGTATGAGTGGCGTGTACTTCTTTAGCTAGAAAAACTGAGTGGCTCTTTCCTCTTTGGCAATTTTCAGTTTTTCAATTTTTCTAATTAAAGATTGAGAAGCAAAACACTATGCATTTCTTTTCTAACAAAAAATCAAAATTAAATTATCAAGGTTGTTATTGCAATCTAAAAAAAATATCGTCTTGCACTCACCGCTTATACTATAAAATAATAAGAAGTGTAAGGCAATCATTTTTAAAGAGAACTTTTTACGGTACACGTGTACTAATACACCACCGTTCTCGTGCAAGTCTATGCAAAACCAATTTTTCAAGAGTCATAAATCATTGTGCACCAGTACACGTGCACGGTAGAAATTCCCTTTTGGAGTGACAGATAAATTAATGTACATGAAGAGAAGAGACAACCCAACTTATGTAATAGGACAAAATAAATTTTGTTGGAGAAATCACAACAAGAAATCCTGTTTTCTTCTTAGGGTATCTCGGAATAAAAAATAAAAAAAATTAAGTGCGAATATTCTAACATGCGGTTCGTTGGAACAGAAAACAAAACAAAAATAACAATTCTTGTAATTAACAACTAGGTAATAAACCAAGTTCTGAACCTGAAATAAAAAAGGAAAGAAGAAATTGGTACCTATACAAAAGGGTAGCAGGAGGGTACTGATAGTAAATTCCGAAAGAAAAGCCTTCTTCGTCCAACGACTCAAATATAGTCTTCTGAGGCATCCCTTCAATCAGCTTCTTTGTATTGTTGCTCGTCAGCCCATGCGACGTCGCAGAGTGCACGTACTGCCGGTTCGGCTGCGTCGAAGCCGGAACGGACGCAAACCACCGGTCGCACACCGCAAACTCCTTCACTAGTTCCCTGTAAACTGCGACGTTTTCTGGCTTAAAACCACTCATCACCGTCTCAGCTAAACCGGTTTGTGTCTTCTCAGCGTTTTGGGCGAAACCGTTCATTTTCGGAGGTAGGGTTTTCGAAGTGGAGGCCTCCGTCCACGGCTCGCCAAAGACTTGCTCGTAGATGGCTTGGATGGAGTGGCCGGGGTCAGGGTCGACGTAGGCAGAGTTGTCGCGGAAGAAGACTTGGGTTGAGTTGGCGTCAGAGGTGGAAATGGGGTTTGATTCGGAGCCGGTGACCCCGTTGATCTCGGGGTTTAGGGACTTCATCCATCCCAGCATGTGGTCGAAGGAGCGGTTCTCTTGGACCAAAACGACCACCGTTTTGATGGGACTGCTGGGTGGAGGAGTTGCAGCGCTGCCGCTTCTCGATTCGGAAACCATTGTCGTTTGGTGGTGTGTTTCGGTGGTTCGGAATTCTAGTATTGTGGGAAATATTTTGTCGGGGTTACGCTTTGTATGTGACAATATATATGGTTAATATAGGAGAGAGAAATGAAGAGAGATGATGTTGGACAAGTTTCTGGTTGGACCATATGGAGAGGAAACTTGGAAAGTGTGAGAAAAAATATATGGTTTTATTTGGATAAGACAGACTTGGGGGGTACGTAAACTTGTGTTTCACAAGAATTCATATGAGCGTGAGAGTAATAAGAAGTTGAAATTGATGGTCCAAACATTAGGAATGCAAGTCGATTGGTTGAAGTGATTACTTGCATTAATCAGATTAATTCTAGAGTACGTGATCAGCATGTTAAACACGTACAGAAATGCGATATAGTGTAGGATATTCTTTTCTACATTTTGTGTGGTCAAATGTGTATTGCATGATAATATAAGTTATGAAATTTAGGTGTACAAGTTATGCTAACGAACAGAGAATATGCTATGCGTGTAATATTACTAAATTGGCACAAGGAGTTGTATTGGCCAAAGTAGCTAACCTTAAAGATCAACAAGAAACCAATTCTATTGAGATTATCATGAATTAAAAGAATAATGTACACTAAGAGATCAAAGAATATGTTTATACAGAGTTTGTCATTCACAAAAGATTAAACTTTAACTTTGAGAAAATGTGAATTTAGACCCAAACAGAAAGAAAAAACTTAAATGGGCCTTTACGAGCCTCTAATATATCTTTTATATGATGACTAATGCCCCAGTTGGTCCTATACATGTGACCCGCTATCAAAAAAAGAATTGCAGTAGTTAAATGATGGAGTGTAATATCAGTTAACTATAGACCTCAAGTCATACGAATAGAGAATGTTAGAGGGAAGACATAAGAGATTAGATGGTTAAATCATTGATTATATACAATAGGCTCATAAAGTGTGTCAAAAAGCGTACATCTCCCAAAGTGCGTCAAAAAGTTTATATGTTGACCTTAAAAACTACCAAGCCTACAGGGCGTGCCAACTCATCGGCCGAGCTCGGCCAAGGAGTAAAATGTGTTGATCTTGCGTTGAGGGCATTACTGACTTCTTGATCTTGCGACTACGGTCGAGGAAGGAACACATCTCAGCCTTCAGCTTCTAGAGCCTGAAGACAAGGCTACTAGTCTTGTGAAGTTCACGAATCGTCGGTGCCAGGTTCGGGCACGGTGATTATATTCGTAAGACTATAAGCACGTCTAACTAGTACCAAACTATATGGACACAAGTACTCAAAAGAGATGTGTGTCTTGATGGTGAATGTCGTTCGACCGTCAGAATGCCGAACTCTAAAACTTACTTGTGAATATCCAATCATAAATAACTCGGCGTTCAATATGCCGAGCCCAATAACTTGTAACACCTCACTTCGCCGAGAAGGCTAATGAGATGACATCTACCAACAAAGACTCGAAAATCTTTGTCGGGCGAGACTTGGATATGTGATCAATCGACCTTCGACGCAATGCTGTTGATCTAAACTGAAGGTGCTCTGCAATCGGCTGATTCTACGGCAACAATGTTGTTTATCCAAACTGAAGATGTTCACCAGTTGCCTTCACAGTGATGTTTATCCAAACTGAAGATGTGTTGACGAAAAAGGAAAATAAAAATCACAAGGTTGTTAAGAGGTTTCACGTTGAGCGAGAGTTTGCGCAAGGCAGTTTGTGTGTTGAATTGGAGAAGCTTAAATAATGCACTCCCCTATATATAGCAACATACCTACTCCTGGCTGAACCAGAGTTGTATTCGGACTAAAACTCCTAAGCCTAATCTGATTAGGATTCGGCCAACCCGAGTTCTAATAGGTTTCTGAACCAAGCTCCATAATGAACCAGGTTCACTCTCGTCTCCTCAACGTCTTCAACTCTGAAATATCCTTGTTGTACCAGGACTCAACTTATTCTCTCTTATCTAGATCAATCCTTTTTGCAATACGACTCAACCGACCTAATTGGACGGCTTGCGACCACTGGACATCCCATAGCATTAGTGGAAGAGCATTGGGCGGAACATAAACCTAAGTTCGGCCCAATAATATTATTTTGGGTCCAAACAGTACTGAATGACACTTTTTAACACATATTTTGACACTATTTTGTAAGGCCATTTATATTCCAACAATCAAGCCGTCTATCTTTTAAATTTTATTTCAAAGATCATGTCTATTAAAAATCACCTAAATCCACCATTGAATTAAATGAGTCGTTTTAGTATTTCTTTGTGAAACCGTGTTCGTCTTTTTTTTTTTTTACTACACATTAATGTTTTAATGTTTCAAAATTTGTCTATTATTTTGCTAAGATGATGTATGAACGACGATCCTTGCAAATGAATGTCTTATTGTCTTAGTATTTCTTTGTGAAATCATATTTATCTATCTATGAATAATAGAGCTACGACACAAGAAAAAACAATGATATGGGATTTTAGAAAGAAAAAAAAAAGAAACATATTTGCCGTAGATAATAACCGCTGAACATCTTGTTGCTGCGGGTGGATTAGTCCATTAGGTCCTTTTCTCCTCCCATGAAACAACATAGTTGAACAGAACAAGATAAGGCTGGTACTTTTGAAAGGCCTTTTTCTTTTTTTGGTGCGTATAGTACAATAAAGCACTATAAATGTAACGAATCGAACAACTTTCACTAAACAAAACATGTTTCAAATCACATCTAATTCTCTAGTCAAGATCTAATACATCTGAACGTCAACATATTAGTTACGATCATTGTAAAGCATGTCAGCTAATTTATAAAAAAAAAACAGCATAGAACTCACTAATTATATATATATTTTTAGGGTAATATTAGGAAAACTAAATTTGTACTAAATGATATGTCACCAATATAAATAAGCAGGTCAACGTTTAAGTAATAATTCAATCATCAACTTTTTTTTCATTTAGTTTACAATTTATACTAAGAAATCATGGTTGAAATTAACAAACCAACCCTAGCATTAGCATATGATATAAGAAACAGAACACTAACGTGGAAAGAAGCAAATCCTCTCTGGATAACATCCGGAGCCCAACAATCATGATCTTTAAAATTTGATCATACAATCAAAAGTAGAGAACTTACTAAAAACTTTTGAAAGATATAATAATTTTTGAACGATCAAATTTTAAAGGCAATGATTATTTAATCTTTGAACTCTGGATGCATAGATCCAGAAGGGATCTACTCCCGTGATCTGACAGTTAATCTTAACCAAGTTGTTTTCAAATTAGAAAATATGGCGTAGGCCATCACATCCACAAATTAATAATGATATATTTACCCGATGAAACCAAACTGAGATGAAATCATGATTCGTCACCACCATCGTTGTAGCTTGTACGTTTCTGTGGGTGGGTGAAGAGGCTGTGGGTACAAACCATGTGTCTATATGGTTCCTCCCGAACCCTACTTGCACTCTGGACTGTTATATTGGGTTATCTCTGGCTTACTGACGTCGGCAGACCTTTTTTTGGAGGGGCTAGGCTCATTTGGTTGTATAGTACTTCGAATCACCCACAAAGGTTGTTGAAAACTTTTTCCAATGCTATGTTTCATTTCGTGGTATGTTTTATGGAAGATTTAACTATATTTCGCCGACGTCAATATCGTCTTACGCCATAAACTTCATTCCCTTCCATCGACGTTTCCTTTTTCAAAATATTCATACATCGTGTCCTTGTCACCCCAAACTTTTTATTTCGAGAGTGAGGACCAAAATAATAGTATAGATATAGAGAGAAGTGCAACAACTTGTGAAGTATAGAAATTATAAATTATGTTTAACAATATGTTTCAATGAGGAAAATAAATTTGGAATTTTGATAAACTTCAAAATTTACAAATTACTATGCACTAATTTCCTTGTTTGAGTACATAAATATAGAAATTGTAAATGTCTTATTTGAATTCATAAACATAAAAATTTAGCATTTTGTTTTTTAGCAATGCACCATTTTTACTTTAATACTAGTTTAAGATAATCTTATTTCTTATCTCACGTACGAGATCAAGATTGAGATTATCTCATTTTAAGTAGTACTCTGTTTGAGCAATCTAATTTTGCTTTATAAATATAATTGGCTTCCAATTGAAAATGTTCCAATTATGCTAAAAAGTAGTCAATTTGAAAGTGGAATCTTGAATTTCTTGAGCATGAACAAGTTTTACATTCAATTTGCATTCAAGAATAAAAAATAGTACTAACGATCTATGTCGAAATATGAAATTATTCATCGACTTAGAACCAAATTTTTTAATTTTCTACGTAACGTAAATTTGACATTACACACTCCATCATCCAAACATCCTTATATTACAAAGACAAACTAAACAATAATACTTTGCACCATTCTATTTTGCCAAATGAAGAAGTTCGACGTAAAGAGGGTGAGTTAAAACGCATGCTTAAGGAGGAAGAGGTGTATTGGAAGCAAAAATCACGAATTCAGTGGATTCAGGAGGGGGATAAAAATACTAAGTTCTTCCATGCACATATAGTGAAACGACGTGGCTGGAATAAGATATTGGGTTTGGAGAATGCTCAAGGGGTTTGGTGCCCTGAGCCGAGTCAGGTGGATGCGATTGCAGTGAGCTATTTTCAAATTTTTTCTTACATGTAGTCCAAGAAGGGTTCTGGAGGTAACGGATTGTGTGGAGGCTAGGGTTTCGGCTAAGGACACGAAAAGACTGATGCAGCCAGTAACGGAGGAAGAGGTGCGGCACACTATGTTCCAAATCCCTGCTGGTAAGTCACCTGGACCTGATGGGTTTACTGGTAGTTTCTATCATGAATATTGGGATGTGGTTGGTAAGGATATCGTGGATATGGTAAATGCGTTTTGGTTCTTGGGGAAACTCCTACTGAAATTGAATCACACTCATCTTGTTCTAATTCTGAAAATTGCTAGTCCTCAGAATATGTCTCAATTACGTCCGATATCCTTATGTAATGTGGCTTATAAGGTGATTGCTAAGCTTTTGAACAATCGTATGAAGATGGTTATGCTGCACCTT